GGAGGAGGAGGAGGAGGAGGGGAGGAGGTGGAGGAGGAAAGGCAACATGTTGACAGCACCCAGAGGCCATGGGACATGCCCTCTCCTGGGGCTCACCCTCACCCTGAGTCCAAGGAAGAGATGAAAGCCTCTCTTTGGAGAGGTTCTGGTGTTGATGCTGGGGAGGGTCCTGCAGTCTTGCCCTGCCCACTGTTCTCCCTCAGGGAGAGGTGTCCCACAGGGCCTGATGCCCCAGTGATGCCTGCCCGCTCCCCAGGTGGCTGAGATCCTGGGCGCCATCCTGGTCCACCTGCCAGTGGTGGACCACCCGGAGGTGCGGCGCCTTCTCATTGAAGGCATCCTCTTGCTGGCTCACTACCACCAGGAGACTGTCCTCACGTCACTCTTGAGGCAGCCCCTGCCCATGGAGAGGTGGGTGCCCAAAGGAGGAGGACATGTTCCAGAAGCCTGGGCCCAGGGCGGGTCAAAGCCAATTACCTGCATCTCATTAAGGGGTCCCCAGCCTCCAGGGAACCACTGACCCAGAGGCCAGACTTCCAAAGCCTCATCAYATCCGCTGGACTCTGGTACCTGTAGGTCCTCATGTGTCCTGGCTGTCCTGTCTGGGTCAGGCCAGGAAGTCCAGTACTGTCCCCTGATGGCAGCCCGTTCCTTTCCTGTGGGGACAGAGCCTCAGGCAGATGAGCCACAGCCTGAGAAAGCCTCTGAAATGCTCCAGTCCCTGTTCCTTTTAAAATGTGGCCTCAGAGGGGAAGGGGTTTACCAGGAGCCGCAGGGCAGCCCCTCCTCCTGGGAGCCAGCTCCTCCACAATGTCCTGTGTGGGGGCGGGGTCTCGCTGAAGGTRGGGAGTGTGTTTGGGACAGCACTGGAACTCACCAGGGGAGGCCCAGAAAGAGGCCCAGAAAGAACTCATCTGGGGAGTCCCCCCGGAGCAGCTAGGCTGTGCTGCCCCAGTAAGATGAGGGGRATGGCACACTAAGAGACTGTAACCCAAACCCAGGCCTCAGGCCCACAGCCAGGGCTGACCTTCCACTCCTAAAGGAGCCCTGCAGGGTCAGGTGGGAGTACAGCGTAGGTTTTGTGATTTAATTTAATGAGGGTTGGTGGCACTTGGAGTAGTGCTGGAAAGTAGGAGCCGCGGGCAGTGCACTCCTAGTAGTGTGTCCCTAGGTCCTACTGGCATTCCTGGTGGCTACTGGTGGTTGACCAACATCTGTATTGGTCAGCTATCACTGCATAATAAATGCCCCCAACTTAGTAGCTTTGAACACCCTGTCGTGAGCAGTGCTATCAATCAACTTAGTAGCTTTGAACACCCTGTCGTGAGCAGTGCTATCAATAGTTACTCAGAGACAGATTGTCTTTAAATGCAAGTGTATATCGACCACACCAATCATCAAATATAAACAATTAATGCAAAAAGTGCTGGCTGTGCAGGAGCACCCYGACCAGCCTTCAGTGCACACTGATTAAACACTATAAGCAGAGCACACAATCCCAGGGCAACCACRAGCCCCAAAACACCGCTGATGCCTTGCGACTTCTCTTAGCCAAGAGCAGACATTGTCCTGATCTGGTGGTGGGCTGGTCGTCAGGGAATGGTGAAGTCAGTCCAGGGACAGACAGCAAGGTGGCCAGTCTCRCCAATGTCCTTGGAGATAAAACTCTTCAATGTGGCAGGACCAGCAATTTAAATAGAGTTCCAAGTTGGTGGCATAYGCTGGTGATTGGTTACACCCAGTGAAAGTCAATGTCCATTGGTTATGTCCAGTGAGGTGATGTAATTGCAGCTGGCATGTTCTTTGTGCATGTCCAGGGAGCTGGGTTCCCTGTCAGTTGTAGCCAGTCATTGCTAAGCATGCCTGTGGCTAGTGGCCCTCACAGCTCCTTATCAATTACAAGCAGATGTGACTAAGCAGCTCAATGGCTGCTGTTCCTTGTGGCCAGCAACTTAGTGAGTCCCAGCACGTTCCAGCATGTCTACTGCAGATGCTCCTTACAACCTCACAGTTTGTGAAGGTCGGGAGTGAGCACTTAGGTGGCAATTCACTCAGGGCCTCGGGAGACTGCAGTCAGGTGGAGCTCCTCCAGTTTCAGGTGACTGTGGTAGAACCCAGCTTCTTGCCATTATGGGACTGAGGGCCCTGTTTCCTGACCCCCAGGATCTCTTTATCCTCGGCCCTAGCGAGTGTCTTTTGGGCCCCTCCCCTCTACTCTTTCCACAACCCTAAACTCACCTCCCTGTGCTTGTGCGTGTGGTGTGGAGGGCTGGAATAGGCAGTTTACGCGTCTCTTTGTTCTGTTCAGCCTTGTTAGACTTTTGCTTTAGCCCTTTATGACCTACTGATTCCCACCTCTGTTCCTCTGTCCCTGGCGCATTCAGACACCATCCTGGGCAGTAGAGCCAGAGACTTGAACTTGAGGACAAGGAAGACATTTCCTCTTGTAGTTTGGCTGGTCACCTGACTTCTGAAAGCCTTAATCTCCTTTTCTGTAGCATAGGGAGAGAAAAATACCTTCCTCTAAGACTCATTGGGAGAATTAGCTGATAAAATAACATCAGCAAACTGCCTGACATGCTTTGGGTCCTTGGAAGTATTTCTGTCCTTACAGTCTTCAAACAGAACCAGTGGGACCCCAGGGGTTCCCAGGGGCCCATGGCTTTCCCAGCAGGACTATGAGCCTGGGCAGAAAAAGGGGCCTGAGCATGCAGTCAGGGACCTGGGTTCTAATTACACACACCTCCCTGAGGTTCAGCTCCCAGAGTTCAGACAGTAGCTGGGGCCCTGCCAAGGGGTTGAAAGGGATTCCTCCCTACCAGGGCACATGGCAGAAAACCCACTGACCTTGTGCCTGTCTTTGGCTAGCCACCTGACGGAGGTGTGGCTGACTGTGGCACAGAATGTGCCTTTTGCACGGACTATGCTCCACGGCTTGATGGGCCGCCTGCAGTCGCGGTTCACCCCCAGGGTAAACGCCACCTCCAAGGCTGACATCTGGCGCCTGGCCGCAGTGGACCCCCTGATGGTGAGTGGCAGGGGCAGGCCCTGGGTCTTCTCAGGGGTCTCAGGGGGTCTCGTTCCCAACACCTCTGGCCCTTCTCTCCTCAGACCCTGTGCACCATCCATCTGCTCCTGGAGACGTTGGACAGGGAGGACAAGCTCCGGGACCTGCTCCCTGACCTCCTCTTCACCCTCCTGCTGCAGCTCAGCAGCAGCCACAGGCCCGAGGCCGCCTCACCTGTCCTGAAGACCTGGAGGCTGGTCCACACGGGGACCCTGCCCGAGGAGATAAACCTAGAGAGGTGCTTGAGGGCAGCTGGGCAGGTGGGTGGTCCATGGGGTCCAGGCAGCAGGCTTGGGCTGGACCTGGCCTCCAAGGCTGGACCTCCCTGAGAAGCTGTCTGGGTCCCTGAGTCACCTGCACCAGGGGGCGTAGGTCCCTCCTCCTGGTGGGGAAGTTTCTGGAGGCTGATTCTACCATCCCTTTTATGTATGTCCAGCTGGTGTGGGTTTCAGTTTGCAGACCCACTCGGCCCCCTCAGCTCTTTGCATGGGGCCCAGCAGGGGCTAGGATCCCCACCTCCCAGACAGGAGAGCAGGGGCCCGGGGCCCAGCAGTACATGAGACCTGCCGCCTCCTTCCAGGATCACCATCAAGTCCATGCAGCTTTTGCTCAAGAGAATCAACAACAAGCGCTTGCTGCACTCCCTGGAAGAGCAGTCTGTGTGGGCATTGCTGGAGGACTGCCTGACCTTCCTGGAGGGAGTGGGCCTGCTGGCCAGGTGGGGCCCAGGCTCTCACGGGGTGGAGGGCACTGTGGGACGGAGGCCTTTGTGACTGGGACAGCTGGGTGCCTCAGACTCTGGGTGGCAGTGCACTGTAGGACAGTGAGAACCTTTTGTTCAAAACTTCCTGCTCCAGAGCAGATGTGAGGTCAGGGAGAGGAGGGGCTAGCAGCAGGACCAGCATGGGCAGCGCCTCCTGGGTCCTGATCACCACCAACAGCCCTCATCCTGCCCCACTGTTAGAAAAGCAGTTGGAAAGAGAGCATTTCTCTGACAGCCCTACTAAGCCCCTCAGACCCCCAAGCCAGCGCCAAGCGGCAGAGCAGTGGGCAGGCGCTGGGCTGGCTTCCCTGGCCAGGTAGCACCCTGGTGTCCTTCACAGGCTGTGCCTGCAGAACATGGAGAGCTACAGGCTGAGGCTGTCGGAGCTGGTGCTCAGGGGCATGGCCTCCGAGGTCCTGAGCTGCCGCGTCAGCAGCACGGCCRTCTGCGTGGAGGTGAGGCCCGTGGCCCTGTGGGGTGGGCGGTGGGGTGGTGTCCTGGGCTCTCCTGCGATGGCTGGCCTCTGAGGCAGGCACCCAGTGGCTGAGGGTCCTCKGAGCTTCCTCCTTTGCATGCTCCTTGACTCCTTCGCTTCTTGGTCCCAGGAGTAGTGCAGGGTGGGCACTGTGGGGAGAGGCTGAGATGGCCCGTGCCCGAGACGCAGCCGAGGCAGGGCAAGGAGAGGGGAATGACCTGGGCCAGCGGAGGCACCATGGGATCCACCGAAGGCTTTGCACAGGAGGCTCTGAGAGGCCGCCAGCCTCTCCAGCCAGGAAGGTGGGAGGGCCACAGCCATGTGGCCCAGCTGCTCTGCCAGGGGAGGGTTTGTGAGTCCTGAGGGAACTGACCAGAGACTGTGAGGGAGACTTTACTGGGCGCACGAAGTCCGAGGTGCCCCAGGAASCCCAGAGCCCAGGACGGCAGCAAGCTTTGTGTGGAGCACCTCCTAGTAGGACCGCACCTCGCTGCTGAGCAGGAAAGCAGCCCCGGGGGCTATGGAGACCGTGGGTGGGCAGGGTTCCAGTAAAGCCTTCCTGATGGACACTGACACTGGAGCTTCACGCGACTTCCGCGGTCATGAAATCCCTCCACCACTGGAAACTATGAAGACGACGTTTGGCTTTGGACCACACAAAAACTCCTAGCCCAGTGCAAGACCAGCCTCAGATTTTCTAAGCTTTTACAAGTTCTCAGGCTCGTCTGGTGTTCATGCCTCCACTGTGAACCCCAAAAATGACGGTGGGAAGAGATTTACACAGGTGTGGCAGCAGGCCCTGGGGGCTAGTCACAGGGCCCCGGTAGGATCCAGCTTCCCCCACCCCACTCTGCAGCTGGACAGCCTTGGGCASGTTCCTTAAGGTCTCTGGGCTTCAACTTCTGCCTCTGCTGGAGTGAGAACAGCAGAACCTACTGTAGGGGTCTCTGAGGGGAACTAAATGAGATCACGTGTGTGTTGTTTGCGTGGTRAATGTTAAATCCCAGCTGATGATTACTAAAAAAGTTAGGTTCAGCTAGTAAGAGGMAAGTTGCTTAAATTCTTTCAATATTGAGGGGGCTGAATTATGCATGATTTTTTTCTTTCTTTTTTTCGGGGGGACTACTGGGGGTTGAATCCAGGGGCACTCAGCCACTGAGCTTATCCCCAGCCCTCTAAGTTGCTGAGGCTGGCCTTGAACTTGCCATCCTCCTGCCTCCGCTGTGGGAGTCGCTGGGATTACAGGCACGTGCCACMGTGCCTGGCTCTCCAGCTTTCTTTAAAACCACATTGAGGCTTTTGTGAGGTGCTCCCAAGGGAGTAGAATTCAGGGTCCCGGGCATTTCAGTTCAGACCGGAGGCAYGGGTCCCGGGCAGCGGCTCTGGGGTGTGACCATGCACAGCGTCTCTGTGCAGGTGACCGTGTTCCTCACTGAACCCTCACAGCAGCCCAGGGCGGGCGGTGGCATCATCCCCCTCCACAGATGAGGACGCTGAAACACCTGGTCCCCCCTCTCCTGCTCCCAGAGGGACCATTCCGGGKGGCACCTGACTCCCTGCTGCGCCCCCTGCTGTGAAGTGGGCCTCCTCCTCGGGGCTGACGGGAACCTGGTCCTTTGCAGTTCATGAGCCACCCGATCCTGTACCAGCAGAAGCTGCTGAGGCCCGCGGTGATGCTGCTGGAGAAGGGTGCGGAGCAGGAGGAGGACCAGGCCCTGCGGGTGCTCTCCCTGCGCGCCCTGGGCAACATGGCCCTTGGTGCCCCCAAGAAGGTACTTTCACGCCCTGGGTCCAGGTCCCAGACTCCGAGGGCCGCCTGGGCCTCTCCCCAGGTCTGCCGGGCTGCAGGGTRGAGGCTGAGCTCTCTGCTTCCCTCCAGGTGAAGCAGTATCGGAAGCTCTTGCTGGAACAGTGCCTGGGCTCCCTGAGGGGTCCCGCCAGCAGCAGYGTGACTGTCGAGGGCATGGAGACCCTGACCAAAATCCTGGCTGAGCTCCGAGAAGGGGACATGGGCTCCTCYTTCGAAGCCGTCTCTGAGCTGTGCAGAGTCTTCTTTGACAATGTGAGTCCAGCCTAGAGCCTCTCTCAGTATCTTAGAGTTTTTCTGTGGCTAAAACAAAATACTYGAGCCCGGGTGACTCACAGGCATAGATGATTTATTTAGTTCAGGGTTCTGGAGGCCAGGAAGCCCCCGAGCAGGATACCCACGTCACGTGAGGGCCTTCTCGCTGCATCATATGCAGACAGATCAAGTGTGCCAGCTCAGCTCYCCTCCTCTTCTGTGAAGCCACTAATGCCACCATGGGAACCCCAGCCTCATGACCTCATCTCACCCTAACTACTTCCCATAGGCCGACCTCCTAATTCCATCAGCACATGGCTTTAGGGATGGTTTCCAATACCTGAACTTTTGGGGCACAGCCCAGCGCTCAGCTTGCTCAGCAGGTGGGGGGGACTCCTCTCCCTCACGGGAAGACGTGCTCTGGAGCAGTGCGCTGAGGGGCCTGCTTGCTGCTGCCGTGTGCAGAGCTGGTTGTAGGATCGGTAGAACCGACGCCTGTGCTAAGCTGCAGGCTYGAGCTGTGGCCCCTTGAGCTCAAGAGCTTCCTCCCCATCCTCCCCCTCCCGAACACTCCTGCCCTGCACAGGGAAGAGCTGTCCCACAGACCAGGTCATGCCCAGTCCCTGGAGCACCACATGGGCCCTGCCCAGGGAGGGACTCCTCCCTGCAGGGTGCTCCAGAAGGCCTGCAGGGCTGAAGCACCTGGAATGGCCTGGGGAGGCCTGTGGGCAGGCGGGCTTCCTGCTCCAGGAGCCAGCCCCTGCTTGTGCCCCTCGGCCCAGGAGAGCGAGCTGCTGCGGCTGAAGGCCTTCGTCCTCTTTGGGAAGCTGGCGAAGATGGTGGGGATCTCCAAGAAGCATTTCTTCAAAGGGGAAGTGAAGAGGGCCTGGGTCCCCCTCCTGCTGCACTGCCAGGACCCCTGCTCCAGCACAGCCCACGTAAGACTCGCCCTCATCCCTGTCTGAAAGGTGGCGCCGTCCCCAAAGGGAAACGGTCCTTTGGGAGGAGGCATGTCCAGCCTCTCCAGAGCCCAGCAGCTGCTGTCCATGTCCTCCCCCGTGCAGGCTGGGAGAGGGCCCCCTGGGGCGACTCGGGAAGCGCCTTTGTGGGAAACATGGCCTGGCTTCCTTCTGCTGGACTCTGCCTGCGGCCACCCTCCGCCCCATCCCCCCTTCTTCCTAGCAGGTCACTTTAGGCTGTTAGCACGGACCTGTGTGACAGCCACTCACCCYGCTCATGTGCCCTATGACCTCTCACCCAGGCTCACCACGGTCCCTCTGGCCATGACCCCACCGCCTTCTCTCCTMCACAAACTAGGGTGGGCAGTGGGAGGTGGCTGAGCGTGGGTGTTCTGCCCCTCTCAAAGCCTGGGGTTGCACCTGACCCAAGCAAGGGCACTCAAACCCCAGTTCTGGGGTTGCAGGTCCCCTGCACACTGTTGGTGAGTGTTGGGTTTCTGATGGCAATGGGGTGGACGTGGTGCAGTTGGCACTCACAGGGTGAGGGACATCCCAGAGTGCTCTCCCCAGACCCKGGTTTGGTTCTCGTCACCCCTCCCTGCCCAGACTCTGCTGCAGGGTCCCTGGTGACACGGGGCAGGCAGCATCAGCGCTGGGTGACTGTTGTCCCTCCTGCGCAGCCTCCACTCTGCCCACACTGCGCTCTCRGAGACAGTGGCATGGGAGATGCCCCAGGGACGAGGGTGACGGCACACCCAGAAAGGGTGGCAGGGACGCCAGCGCTGTACCCTCCCCTGCTGGGAGACCCCCTCTCTCCCTGCCAGAGGCCAGGGGCGGGGCCTCAGCAGGGCCTGCAGCGGGCAGGGGCTGGGCGGGGTGGGCAGGATGGGACCCGAGCTCAGGGGCCGATGCCATGCTGCCCGGCTGTCCTGTGTCCCTCCAGGCCTGCAGGGCCACCATGTTTCAGTGCGTGCACTTCTGGGGCTGGAGGTCCCTGGAGAGCTCCTTGGGGCAAGGCCACACCAGAACCGACGAGGAGATGACTGTGTTCCAGACAAGCATGTGCTCCATCCTGGTGAGGAAGCCRCGGGCACACCCCACTGTGGCCTCTCCTCTCGAGGCCCTGGGTTCTCTTCTAGACACAAAACGTCCCCTGGAGACAGCTCGCAAGCCACACGCCTGGTTTAGGTTTCCCAGTGGCCATATTCAGAAAGTGGGAAGGGGCCAATTCGATTTTAATGTGTTTAACGTAGCCTAATATAGCCCCAACATGATCATTTCAACATGTATGTTATATATTTATAATATTATATATAAAATTATTATTAATATGGTATACATAAAGTATATAAATATATCACACAATATTTATTAGACATTTATAAATACATACAATATATTTAGTATATAAATATATAAACTTGAATGTGTTGTTATTGTAATTATATATTATTATGATAGCTTACATTTTTTTGGTACAGTCTTCAAAACCCAGAAGGCATATCATACTTAATTCAGACCAGCTACATTCTAAGTGTTCAAGGACCACATGGCCAGTGGCTACATTTTGAATAGCACAGGTTCCTGATAAAGGATAAGAACAAACCCAGGGCCTAAATGTCCTTAACTTTCCCTGCTATGAATCTGCTGTGTGATGCTGGGATGGGCCCTTGCAGTCTCTGGGCAGAGGCTTCCAGTTGTAGGAGCACTGGTGCATCAGACAGAAGGGGATGCTCCTGGTGATCAGTCCGGCTCCAGGTCTCATCCTGAAAGCTGTTGTATGTCACTTACTTTCTGCAGACTCAGAAAAAGCCTGCTGTTCTCTATGGCTTCTTTCTGGAAACAATGTCCTATGTCAAAAATGACTTGTTAAGGATCAGAATCGCTGCCTGCAACTTGGCAGGTAAGCAGAAGATGTCTTGATTCAGGATGGACCTTGAAGGGCACCTGGGCAGCCAGTTAGCTGCAGGGGCAGTGGCAGGGTGGGGACGAGGGCTCAGGTCGAGCCTGCCCACTGTGCCTACCTTCTGGGCTCCAGTTAGACTTCCTCCTAGTCTGGTCTTGGCCAGCAAAATCCTTCACTGACGTCTTGGTAAGGCAGAACCACGCCTCTTGCATAGGCTCTCCTGCTGACCTGGCCTGGGCAGTGGCATTTCTTTGGCTGTCCTTTTAGGGATCATAGTGAAGCAGTTGTCAGTTCATTATCTGAAAAAGCTGGACTGGCCGGCCCTGCGGAATTGTGAGTAGTGGACAATCGGTTATGCACAGTCGGCCTCCCCACACTCCCCAAGGAGCCCGCTGGCTCCGCAAACCCCTGGGGAGCCTGGGAGGGCAGCTGGGCCTTTCTGTGGACTTGTCTGGGGGAGAGGAATGGGATGAGAAGGGTGGCCTGTGGAGGGCCCTCCTGGAAGGGAGCTGCTGGCCGCGTGAGTCCCCCSACTCATGGATTCTCAAGGGCTGCTTCTGCCTTGACGCTGCGCTCAGGTTCTGTGAGTGACCTTTTGGTCCCTGTTAGTGGCTGCTGATGTCCTGAGAGGACTTCAGTGGGCATGGAAACTGCAGCTCCACCTGCCATCTTCTGGCTGCATGCCCCGGGGGTCCAGTCCTGCCAGGCCACGTGGCCACCATCCGCTACACCAGGCACAGGGGTGTGGTCTTCCCAGAGGCTCGACCCTTTCCTCTTTGTGCTCCACCCAGCTCTCCAAGAACTACAGCTGGATTCGGATCCCGGGGTCAGGAAGGCAGCGCTGGGGACGCTCAAGGTCTTGGACAGCTGTAGCCAGCACTGGCAACTGGCACTGGGCCTCCCCTGAGGGAACGTGCTAAGGTTCCCACAGAGCCGTAAGCTGCCTCCTTGGAGCATGGAATCCTCGCACAGCAAAGCAAACAGTTTAAAATTTAGTTTTCAAGATAAACCTTGTGGTCAGTGTATTTTCTTCTATTGAAATAAGCCCCCATTGCCATTTGTGGGGTGGACTCCAGACGGTGAGTTGTGGGGGTGCAACGGAAACTCCAACCCTAACGAGCCCCGTCTTTCTCACTTTCCCTGGCACGGGTCAGACAGCCCCTCCACCCAAAAGGACCACACCGGGTGCTGCCCAGCGGCCAGGGAGGCTGGCTTGTCCAGCCTCTGCTGCCGGGGACCCCGGCCTTTGGTGGGGTGTCCAGCTCATGGTAGCACAGCACTGAGAGGAGGGCTGGGCCAGGGCCAAGTGCTGCAGCAGCCCTGGAGAGGACGTGATCTGTATCCCGGGCCCCTCACTTGTCATGTGGCCTGGGCCCGTCGAACGGGAGCCCAGTGAGGCCTGGAACAGAATTTGGCCCAGGGCTGAAAAGGAGAAATCAGCCCTGAATCTGAGAAACACGGAGCAGGGAGAAGGGAGGAGAGTAAGGAGAGGCCCTCCTGCGCTTGGGTGGTCAACAGACTTGTCCCCAGAGCAGGCAAACAGGACTTCCACACCCCGCGTTGAGCACTGCGGGGTGCACCACAGGTCAGCCGAGAGCCCAGAGGGCCAGCCTTCCCTATGGGCCTCTCTAGGACAGTGGTCTCCAGCTGTTCTGTGAGCAGAGCTGCTTTCCTTCCACCAACTGAGGAAGCTGCTCACGAATGGCAGACGAGAAAAAGTCAAGGGCTGAGCTCTCGGACCAGGGTCAAGGGTAACTTCTGAACAATACAGGAAAAGGGGTGGGAGAAATGACTTCCATGTCACATCAAACTGGGCTGGTTCGTGTRGTTGGATCTAGAATATTCCTGAATCAAACCGAGGCAACACAGCAGTGTCCTGAGAGGGGTGGTGGAAAGGCCGGGACCCCAGGCCATCAAGACAAAGCCAAGCCAACCGCGTGGGGCCATAACTCACTGTCACCACTAACCTCAGAGGCTGTCAGTGTCTGTGGGCAGCAGTGACATGGGGAATGGGCCTCTCCTATCGCTGGACAGATCACAAACTGGAAAGCCCCTTGGGAAGGCCATCTGAGGAGACCAAGGCATAGCCATTCCTGAGTGTGCCTCTAGGTGTGTGCAGACGGGTTTGCAGTTGTGCACAAGGACCACAGGCCGAGTCCTCCTGCAGGAGGCCGATGCTCAGTCAGTTTTGTGTTCCTATCACGAAATAACTGAGGCAGGCTAAAAAAAAAGTTTGACTCTGTTTTGGAGGTTCAGGGGCCGGGCACCAGCATTAGCTGGGCTCTGGTGAGGATCTCATGGTGGTCAGAGTGTGTGGGAGGCATGACATCTTGAAAAGGGGAGGTCGGATGGGGTCAGTCTCAGGGAAACCAGGGTCCCATAAGAAATTCCTTGATCCTTGGAGGGCAGAACCCCAACTACCCAAGTACCTCCTGCTTGACCCCATATCACTTCCATTACCACCACCCTGGGGACAATTCCAACCCCTGGTCCTTTGGGGGACACATTTTAAGCCATAGCACCCACATCAGCTCTTGTCTCTTGGTGAAAAACGTCAATTATGTGAGTGAAGGTTGAAAGCAGAGGCCACATGTGCTTGTGGGTCCTGTGTTGGCTGATGCCAACCCCTTCTACTCCACCCTCCTCCCTGGGACAGAACACTGTCACCTGGCGGCCAGCCTGGCCCGGCCTGCAGAGCTCAGCATGGCTGCTGTGCCTGAGGGGCCAAGGGCAAGTGAGGCCTGGGCAGTCCGGGCAAGTCTTCCTGATGGAGGGGAGTGAGCTGTGTCCTCAGGAGCAGCAGACGTGAGGGAAAGGTCTGGGACTGTGGAGGCCAGCCTGCCCTGGCCGGGCCTGCCCCAGCTGGGCCTGCCCCAGCACTGCTGCCAGCCTGCTCTGAGGGAAAGGGGAGCCTCCCGTGAGGGGCCAGGTGTCGGCCACCTGCACTGGTTCAGTGCTGTGGACCAACCTGTCCCTCCAACCCAGATGGTGAGGGTGTGTGGACATGGGACTTGGGGAGGTGATGGGGCTTGGGTAAGTCCTCATAAGAGACAGCAGAGACCTCTCTTCCTGCCCCCAACAATGGGCCAGGGCGTCCTCACCAGAACCTGGACGTGCTGGCACCCTGCCCTGGACTTCATCTCCAGATGGCAAAATACACCTGTGCTAAGCTGCCCAGCCCAAGTTGACAAGCGCAGTGTGCATGTGGTCCCCGCTGAAGACAGGCGTGGAAAAGGGACAATGTGAGGATTGATCAGTGGGCGGGGACAGGAAGGAAAGGTGACTTAACCTCGTCTTTCATCTTTTATTGAGAACACTTCCTTAACACACACCAACAGTCGTAACTCCAGGTGGCTGCACATGGGTTTCACCACTGGAATTTGAATATTTGAAATACTTCAATAAAATGTCCCTGTGATACCCTATTATAAATCATCTCAAAGAAACAAGGCACTGGGTGCTGTGGGGTGCAGGGGTGGGGTTAACACGGGACAGTTCAAAGACAACACACCTCCACCTAAAGCCAGCAGGATGCCAAGAACTGCTTTTTATGGGCCAATTATGTTTTAGTTGGTACTCGAAAGATCAAGGATCGCTGTATCCAGGGTTTAAATAAACAAATGATGCTCTAACAAAACAGATTTGTGTCTACATTAAAAAAAGAAAACAGAATAGGCTCACCAGGGCTAACTGGCTGAGTGACTGAGACCGGTGTTTAAGGTTGAGCACTTGCCTGGCACGTGTGTGGCCCTGGGTTCCACCCCAGCCCTACAAAACAGAGCACGAGGGAGAGGAACTATGCTCCAGGCGAGCCTCAGCTCTAAATATCTCTGACAACACCACTATTCTCCTCTATCCTGAAAGATGTTCCCTCCCCTAGGAAAAAACCAAGGTGAACCTTACCATGACCCCTGTTTCAAGCCCCACTGCACGTGAGGAAACGCATCCACTACAGAAAGCGCCCCGTACGCAACCCCAGGTCTACTCAGACAACAACCCAGCAGGCAGCCTACCTCACCAGCAAGGCCCGCGGGGAGTCTTCAGGCCACACTCCCCACAAGGAGACAGCCTGCCTGCCCAAAGGGTCCTGTGGGCACTGAGGCAGGGCCTGAGGCAGCTACAGGCCGATAGGCAGGCCCTCGCTGCAGCCGCAGTTGTGGAGATCTGGGCACCTCGAGCAGGGACGGGGGAGACGTGCACACTGTGTGGCCAGTGGTGTCGCCACACTCACCTGCCATCGCCTGCGGGGAGCTGTGAGGGCCGCACTGGGCACTGATGGCACGAGTCCCCTGCCAACGTGGGGCACCTGCTCCTGCTGGGGACTTCGCACCATYCTGTGGGGCTGAGGTTCCCTCTACTTGGCCAGGCAACACTTCCCAGGGAGAGGGAGGAGCTGAGCCAAGGTGGGGCAGGAGAGTCAGACTGGATTCTGGGGCCACAGGGCAGCTGGGGAGGCCAGCCAAAGGCTCAGGAGAGTCCTGGGGCCAGGGTCAAAGGCATGGGTGGGGGAGGGGACTACTTGAAAAGCAGTCATTCAGGTTTAGACCAGAGGGATAGCCGATCAGGGACCTGTGATGTGCAGGCGGCCAGGAGACACCTCAGGGACAGCTCTGGGCCAAGGATCTCTTTGGTGAAATGCTCCCTTTCTGCCACGAACTCAGGTTTTCCTAAGTGACCCAAAATAGGAGCATCTCTTCAGGGCCACCCCTGGAATGTCCAGTGAGCTCTAAGGCCTCACTGAACTGTAGCTGAAGGTCCCCCGGTGTGGCCTGGCCTGCGAAAGCCACATGGGCCCTGGATGGGGGAGGTGAGCAAACAGACCAAGACCCAGGAACAACTGTGCTGGCGGCCAGGCACTGCTGGGACAGGCAGATGGAGGACACTGTCCACAGGGCACTGGGCGGCTGCTCTCCGGTTCTGGCCTCCCAGGGGCCTGGCTCCTGCACCTCCCCCAGCCCTCCTGGTCCCACCAGAGGCTCCCCCTGGGGACGGGTGCTTTCACCTGGTAGGTCTTCCCTGGAAAGAGGCCAGGCAGGCGTGTGCTKGGCCCTGGCTGCTCACACCTAGGGCTTCACATCAGCAAGACAAAACRCCACTGGCCAGAAGGATCCCGCGCTGTGCCGGGCCCGTGGGGTGCCTGTACAGACGGCTTCCTCCTCAGCCGGGCGCGCCTGCCCGGGGAGGCAGTGGGGCGGCCCAGACGGAGAGGTACAAGAAACAAGTGGGGAGTGGGAGGGGGTGGCAGTGAGGAGAGCCCTGGGAAGGAGAGGGAGGACCCTGTCACGGCAGAGCCTGGCTGGGTGACCCTGGGAGGACGGGAATGGGCAGAGAGCACACGGGGGCTGTGGTGGTTTCTAGAACCAGCCAGATGCAGGAGGCAGGAGTGAGCTGCTGGGAAGGGTCCTCGGCGGACAGGCAGCGGTGGGTGGGAAAAACAGAAAAGGAGGTAACTGTGATAGGCAGGGCCCGTCAACTGACCCCCAAGGGGGTCTGGCCTCAGCAGGGGGGACAAACAAGAACAGGAGGCTGCAGACACGGCCTCACCTTGCCTGCCCAAGCTACCATCAAACCCAGAGCCCAACTCAGCCCACATCTCTCGGCCGGTGGGGACAAGTGACCGCAGTCACTCAGGTGAGCCATGCCAACTGGAGCCCAACTGAGGACACATGGATCCCACTGAAGACCTGGCACTTCGTCCCGYTGGCCGGTCCACCCCGCCTGCTCCCTGACCCATGACGGGGAAAGAAAAGGGTACAGCAGGGGCAAGCTGTGGCTGAGGGGCCCAGAGCGCGAGCAGAGCCCAGAGCTGGGAGCCAGGAGGGCAGGCGGGGAACCTGCATGCTGCTGGCCCTCCGAGGAGTTGGGAAGGGGACAGAGGTCACCGTTCCCAGATCAGTTTCACCTTCCAACAATTGTTTTCTGAGTGTCGACACGGACAGATGGACAGACTGGACAGACAGCAGCAGTGAGGGCATTCCAGTGAAGACAAGGACCCCCTTCCTTCCAAACACTTGCAGCTCCATCTTGAAGCCTCTCCCCCACACACATCCTTGCTATCAATGCTGACTTCAGAGGAAGCAGAYGGTCTGGGAGACAGCTCCTGGAAACCCACTCAGTCCTGCAGGGACCGGTCAGGAGGAGCGGCCAGGTCGGGATGCTCCGTGGCACCTGGTGTGCTGTGGCTTCGCTCCTCTGCACCTTAGAGGAAAAGTACCTGCTGGCAGGAACGGCACCCCACAGGCGGAAATGCTCCTCCTTACCAGCTGGCCTGTGGGGGGCCACCCTGCTCCCCTGGTCTGGGGTCGGCTTCTTCCACCTCTGAGGAAGCCGGGAAACTGGCCCRGTGTCCACGCGCCTGGGGCTCTGACAGCCTGTGTCTTTTTGCAGGGGACTGAGGGTCCCTCCTGGAACCATGAGCAGAGTGAGCAGATGGATGAGCCTCAGCTGCAGGTGAGCCCTGTGGACTTCGCATGTGCCACTGCGGTGACAGTGACAGCTTCTGGAAGAGAGAGTCTCGATTTGACTTTCCGAAGAGCTCTGGGGTTTGGCTCTGAACCCCTACATCAGCTTTATCTGGAGACACTCCAAGCGGGGCAGGTGCCTTTGCCTGCAGCACCTGCTGCCGAGGCTGAGGCGACCTCTGGCAATACTCCTGATGAAGCTGGTCAAAGTTCTCTTTGATTTCATTGTAGCGATTTCTCTCACAGGCCAGAGGTTCTACCCTAGGTACTGAAATAGCTTGGCGGGGTGACCATGCCTTTCTGAATGTTCCAGAACTCTGTCCCTGAAGGAGGCCAGATGTCTGCCAAGAGTGGCCGCGGCTCTTGGGAAGAGATGGGGAGGCGTCGCTCTCTGGTGGGCCTCTACCTGCCTCCACACATCTTTTGCTCAGGTTTTCAAAGGCCTCACTTAGTCCCTTCGGTTTTGCTTTGCTGAAAGGCAAACTCTGCCTGAGGGTTTTTAAGCCCCCGAGGCCGCGTGGGCTCACAGAACCACCTCTGTACACACCCATGGCCCAGGAGCCCGAAAAGCCATCTGGGGAAGCTCGTTTCCCAACACTTGGGCAACATTCTTGATGCAGCTTGTTAAATTTGATTTCAATCTCCCTGTATCGATTCTCTGCTGGGCTGGGCAACATTTTTGGTCTAGAAACTATTTTTACAGGAGAAATCAACCACTTTAGCATCCTCAGTCTATTTTCCTGGTCAGGATGATGCACTGTGTTGAGGTCCCAAGTCAAGGAAGAATGCTTCCAGGGTGTCACCTGAAGTTCCTTCCAACGTGGATCTAATTTAAGGCTCTGGGCTTTGTTTCCTGCAAGAAAAGCTCTGTCCAGTTTTGAAGATGGCTCATGCTGGGCGACATGCAGTAAGTTCTTACAGTCTCTTAGGGGTCCTGTCTCTTGCCTGGGCTCTGAGCAGGGTGCAGGCCTCTCCCGGGAGCCCCTCCGGGAGCACCGAGCCCTGGCACAGTGCCGCTCGCTCACCAGCGCCCTGCCCCTGCGCACGCGCCTCCTCCTGGAGCTCCAGCTCTGGACGATGAAGGTCTTGGTGGAGATGATGCTCGAGGGCTTTGTGCTCAGCAGCCGGCTCATGGAGTGCAGCATACCCGCGTACAAGTCGCTGATCGTCACATCACAGATGTCATCCGCCTCAAAGGACTGGCTGCTCACGCAGCTGCTGGTCCCTAGCAGTGACAGACTGTCATTTCTAGATGCTGTGGCCAGGTCGGCTGGGCAAGGACACAAGGGATCCAACTCTCTGGGGGAGGGAGTCAGCTCCATAGGGTCACCAGGGCTCTCTGCAGAGACACTGCCACAGGGTCCTGGGGAAGAAGAAAAGTCAAGGGTGTCAGGGTTCAAAGCCACCCCACACTCAGGGCATGGAGCTCAAGGGCGGACCATGACCACGTTTTCAAAATGATACAAAAAACTACAAACGATTAGAAATAGCTTCTCAGATTTCTTTTTAGTCCCTAAATCCATTTCTGCTCTCCACCCCACCCTCAGGAGTTCTCTCCCCTCAGGCTGTTTCGAAGACGGTTGCCTTTTTGAAAGTGTATTAGAAACCAGAAACCAGAAAATACAAGTCTACCCACGGGGACATGCGGGACCCGAGTAAGGCCCTGTGCTCGCTGCTTTACACAGCTTTGCTTTTGTGTTGTGTGAAAGGTTTATTTGAAAAATAAAATTAAACCTATGAAAATGAGGAAAACCCTACAAATAGAAACAGAAAAAAATAGAAGCTGTGCACCAAGCTGGTGGTGGGATGGAAACAAAGATCCAAGTGGGCACAGCACCCTGCGCGCTTCCCTTGGGGGACACTGTCCAAGGGCCAAGAGAGCTGGCTGCGGCTGCCACCATCCTGAGGCTAGTTGGTACTGGATGAGTGAACACGTTATGGGGCTGGAGGTGACCAGGAGAGAGGGGAAGCAGCCTCGGGGTGAAGGCGACAGAGGGCTGGTGAGCCAGGAAGGGTGCGGGCGGGGCTGCGTGAGCGTCAGGGGAAGTAAGGGCTCCAGCGGGGACTTAAGAGGTGGCTGTGCCTCTGATTCTAGGAGCAATAATGCCAGAGGCCGTCACTGAATGGCAGGGCTGGAAGAGGCCCACCGTTCCTGGCACCTCAGGCGGTGCCCCTGGACGCCCAAACCACCAGTGAACGATCTTAGGGAAAAGGCTCCTGGGCCGTCCCAAAGGCTCATCTGCTGGGGACCCAGGAGAAGTGCAGTGACAAGTCCTTGACTAAGGACCAGATCAGAAGTCACCAGCAACGGAGAGGCGGACGGAATGTCCCAGAGGACACAGCGTCACGCGCTTGTCCTTATGCCAGGAGGCTTACCGTGAGGACAACCACGAGGCGGCGACAGACAGGTCTAGAGGGAGGGACGTCGGGACTGTTTAAGACAGGGCCACCCACACATGAGAGATGAGGGGGGCAACACGAAGGCCAGGAGCCGCTCTGGCCTGCACGCGACAGCCAGACCGGTGGGCGAGGCCAGTGGGCTCTCCACTGCGGGCCACGGAAGGCTGTGGAGGACGTCACGGGCTCGTCGCTGAACCGCCCTTGTCACGCCATGTTTCTGTCATGTGCTACTCACTGTGGTCATGGAGAACCCTCTGTGCTCCGGAGACAGGGAGCCCTGAGGGACGACACACAGGGACCTGCACGTGTGCAGTGTGTGCGCAGGCGTGTGTGGAGGGCAGAGGCAGGCCGCGCAGTGCGGAAGGATGCTCACCGTGCCCCTCCCGTGCTTCTGCAGATCCCAGACTGCTCAACCCAGTCAAGAGGGTGCAGAGCTSGGAGCAGCCACCAGGCCACACATGCTCAGGGAATGAGGTCATCTGAAAGGATCTAATTCCCATGAGGTGCAGGTACCTGAGCTCCTGGCAATGAGCAATGCGTCCCCCCTGAGTGGTGCTGAGCTGAGCTGCCCTAGGGCTCCAATAAAACACGTGGCTCAGGGGTGTTTATATGTCACACTTACCGGGGCCAGGCATGGCAGGAGAGGCCAGGGAAGGCATGGGAGTCATGGGTGTGGTTGATGTGCCTCTCTTATCTGTGCCCTGAAATCAAAGTTGATGATTACAAGAGAGCCACCGGATACTGAGACCCCAGGTGCTGTCCCCGACAAGAGAGCAAAGGCACGTACGTCAGGAGTAACCCTGCATCCAGCAGGCAGCACAAGCAAGTGAGCCTGTGGGCTCTGGGCAGGAGGGAAGCCAGCCACCCTCGCCTGCCAGGAATTCCTGCCTGGGGATCTGCCGGCTTCTCTTCCCTCGCCATTCCTGTGGACAGTCAGAATGCCTGGGGACCAGAGGGACGGTGGGCAGAGCTCAATCACCCTGAGCCCAATTCCAGTCCCTGCCTCTAATCAGCACAGCACCAAGAGGATGACACCCACTGGGCCATGTGGGGGACAGGGTGTTACGCATGTATCACTAGGCCAGGGCCCCTGTCACCAGCACAGTGACACGTGAAGCTGAGGCCTCTGCAGGCGCGCTGTTCTCCACTGTGCACTGCGCACTCCGGTGGTACGAGAGCACCCTCCGCTTTCTGAAGGATCCGATGCAACAGGGGGAGCTAAAGAGGTGGCGCCACCTGAGCTTGGGCTCTTCTTCCAAGTGAAACTGGGAAGCGGCCACCCTGAAGCACTGCACCATCCTGGTTTGGGGCTGGAAGGCTGCCCGCCTCTTATCCCGCCAAAGAGCTCCTGCCTCACTCCAACATGACCTCRGACCAGGCAGGATAGGTTGAGGACGAGGGGATGCCGCTCACCTTGCTGCTGATCCCAACCCCAGTCACACCAGGGAGTGAGGTGGAGGCCCTTGGAGAGTCCCACCCCTGGCTTCACTAGGTTGGTGGGTTGCCCCAGGACGTGGGGCGGGGGGGATGGAGTCCACCCTCTAACCCTGCAAGTTCCCCCGATGGTGCTGCCGAGGGGCTCCCTAGTGTTAATTCAGAGCACAGACACAGTATCATGGGAACAGAAGGGTCTGGAAATCATCATGCACAGCACTCTTCACAAGCTCTGTGTAAAGTACAGAAAAACTCCTCAATGTACCTACTTCACACACGCGCGCGCACACACACACGCGCGCACGCACACACACACACACACGCGCGCACGCACACACACACACACACACACACACACGGAGACAGTACCTCAAAACACCCTGCGTCTTGAAGCAGTGCATCCACCTGGGTCAGATATTTCCTTCTTAACTCATTTTTCAGAGGGCTCCAAGGCACTGAAGGCTGATTACGAAGAGAAGTCAGTATCCTAAGAGCTGCTGGGCACTGCTGTCATGAATTCTGGAGCAAACTAACGCGCTCGTTAATGCAGACCTCTAAATGAAGCTACTCAGTCAGAGTCAGCCTGTGCCTCCTGCTGTTAGCAGTGCAAAGTGGCCAGGCCCCTCTGAAAAACTGCTGGGCCCTGGGCTTAACTACCAAAAATAAAGTAAAAAGATGCAGAACATAAAAGCTGGGAGGTGTTTACGGCAGCTTTCCTAGAGGAGAAAACACCTGAAGGCAACCTTGTCAGCTGCGGGCTGACAAGAGAGGCCCAGGATCCAGCTCAGGACCTCTCCACACCTGGTGCAGCCAAACTGGGGTCTCAGACAGATGGGAAGGACCACAGGGAAGGCTGCACCCAGGGTCTGTCCAGGGGCCGTGCCTGCTACAGTCCTGGGAAGTTCCCGGGGTCACGGCCACCCCTGCCCCAAAGGAGGTTTAGAGGGAAGCAGGTGCAGTGGCTCTCACATCTGGCAGCATATGACACAGGGGACCCAGGGGCCAGGAACACACAGGAGCCTTATCTTCAGGCTAGCTTCAGCCACCTGACTGTGTGACCTTGTGACTAAACGGGCTCAAGGGCTGACCCGGAACCCGACTCACAATGTCTCTTAGTCAAGGCACTCAGCATGCCATGAACCACACTGGTGACAGTTCTGGCTGCAGAGAGAAAGTCCCCAAATTCTTTACCACTGTCTAAGTTCAGAGGTCAGTCCAGAGCGGAGCCACACTGGCTGTCAAGTGCCAGGCTGAGGAGACCAAAGACAGAACCAAGACCTAAGAGGTGGCAGTGCTAAGAACGTGCCCAGAGGACTTGGGGAACACTGCCCAGGGCCACCTGGGTTTGCCTGCACGAGATGGGAGTGCACCCGAAGCCCCTCACCGCCACCCATCCCGAGGCAGCCCTTACCACCAATGCCTGGGCCAGAGGACTGCCAGGCTCCACCGCTGCTCTGGCATGGCTGCTTCCTGGATCTAAAAGTGAAAAAGGAATCGCAATCAGGATTCTTGGGAAAGCTTGTCCATCCCTCTCAGGATGGTTTTGTAACACTCTGAGTGTGTTCTATCACCAGAGGCTCCAGTGGCCTCTGACTGACAGCTGTGACCCTTGCCCAGCACTGTCCCATGGAGCTCCTGTGATGATGGAGGGTCTCCACCTGCTGTTCAGTCAGCTGCAAGCCACACCAGGCTACTGAACAGTGGGATGTGGGTAGCAGGACTGAGAACGGACTTTAAGATTTTTTTTTTTTTGGGGGGGGGGGAGGTACCAGGGATTGAACTCAAGGGCATTAGACCATTCGACCACTGAGCCACATCCCCAGCCCTATTTTGTATTTATTTAGAGACAGGGTCTCACTGAGCTGCTTAGTGCCTCCATTATTGCTGAGGCTGGCTCTGAACTCACAACCCTCCTGCCTCAGCCTCCCAAGCTGCTGGGATTATAGGTGTGAACCACCACGCCCGGCCTGACTTTAAACTCAATTAGAATTTGATCTAACACTAGTTAACGACACTCAAGACCAAAATCTCCATTAGTTTTGTAATTTGACTTTGAAAAACCAGTTTCCCCTTTAGTGGCTCAGCACAGATCACTGACTGTCCACTGGGGGCAAGGTGCCAGGGAAGGGCTGGGTGAGGGGATGGAGCTCTGGAAGGACCAGTGTTGGAGGGAGAGACAAGAGTTGGAAACATTCTGGGGCTGTAAGGAGGAGACCAAGCATAAAGCTGAGATGCAATGGGGGTCAGCAGGGAGGATGTGGTATGGGCAGGGGTCTGTTCTGACCTGGGGGTCAGCAGGGAGGATGTGGTATGGGCAGGGGTCTGTTCTGACCTGGGGGTCAGCAGGGAGGATGTGGTGCAGGCAGGTCAGGCAGGACTTCAGGTCTCACTCTGGATCCTGGCCTCTTCCCACAGCACAGTGGGAAGCCACCATAGTGCTTCAGACAGAAGTGGCTTGACCAGAATTCCTTGCATATCCAGGGTGGGGGAGCCCAGAAGGGGACAGGAGCTGGTGCTAAGGGCCAGGGGGGTGAGGCAGTGGGCCTGAGAGAGGACAGGAGGTGACAGACCCAGGACAGCCTTGGACTTGAGGAAAGAGGGGGAGGCTGAGAAGAGGACCCTGGATCCTGGCTCATGCTGGAGGGGGAGGAAGGTGGACCTTGGAGGGCAGGTCTGCTGTGCCGTGGAGGTGCCAGTGTGGACAGGACGTGTTTATGGAGAGAGGCCCCAGCAGTAAGATGCACCGGAAGGGGTCTGGGCTGGGGGCAAAGCCAGGCCTGATAARTGCACAGGGGCTTCAGACCAACCCTGAGAAAGGGCACCCTGAAGGGCCAGCAGGTAAGCCAGCAGCAGGCCAGAGGACACGCAGGAGGGAACTGAAGAGCAGTGTGCAGAGGCCAAGGCCAGAACTTGCCGAATCTTCACATGCTGCAGGGGGAACAGGCACAAGATGGGCCCAGCAACAGGGTGGCCTAGAAGCCCTCCCAGAGGGAGGCTGCAGAGATGGAGCCCAAGCCAGAGGGCACCAGGTGAGGCATGCTCAGGTGGGGGACCAGGGAGGGTAAGGTGGGTTGTAAAGGGACTGAGGGAGGGAGGTGGCCAGGCAGGGACAGGGCAGTGGAGAGTCACAGGCAAGTTCCACAAGTGGAAGGCGAAATCTGACCTCCCTTAAATGTGGATGGGACATGTAGCCCAGAGGGCAGGCTGAAGGTAGGAGAAAAGAGGGGGGCAGGGCTGGGTCCAGGCAGTGAGATGGCCTGGGGAAGACTGACGGTGACAGAAGCAAATGTTCACGACCATCTTGATTTTAGGTCTTGTCAAATCCTGATGTAATATATCTTAGACTGGGGCGGGGCGGGGGGTGTTCATTTATATAAGAAATATCTGAGTGTTTTCTGTGCCGGGCACCATGGATATATCAGGACAGGGCCTACCCTCCAGGGACTTCAGAAGGACATGACAGGGCACTTCAAGATGACCTTAGTTTTTAAAATACCCCTTAGGAAACCGCCCCCCCCCCCCCCGCCACAAAAGAACTTCATCCTTGAACTGCTGTGACAGAGACACAGGTTGGCCAGCTCCTCTCCTAAGGGGAGGCACTCACCGGCTCTCAGGACTAGGGGGCACAAAGGCACAGGCTCGTCACCTCGGGCTGCGGCATACCCAGGGTCTTCCATCCTGTCCTCTGGCTTCCCAGGGGAGTACTAGCGGTACAAAAGTCAGCAGAGACAAGCTTACTTGAGCAATGGCACATCTGAAAGTCACCGTGAAGGGACAAACCTACATCTGTCCTTGAACACAGGGAGCAGGAGCTCCTCAGGCTTCTTACACCTTTGCTTCATCAAGGGCCCAGAGACTCCCAAAGGCAGGGGAGGACGCCTGCTGGAAAGCAGCCGGCCTTCTCCCTCAGCTAGCCCCAGGGCTGCTGTAAGTCCCCTCGAGGGGGAGGTCAGCTCTGTCCTGGAACCACCTGGTCCCGGCCCACATAGGGTTCCACAGGGACTGCAGCAAACAAAAAGCCGAAGTGAAACAGAACAAAATGGTCACCTGGTCAATGGGGAGAATCCAGAAACGGTGGGGGCCCACGTTCTCAGTAAATGCCCAGAAGTGGTCTTAGGACCTTTACAACGTGGTGTAGCGTTGAGGTCCTGTGTGCATCCTACAAATCCCCTGTGTCTGGAGCTGGTCCAAACTTAAGCTCCTGACCAGGGGTTCAGGCCACAGGTGATCAGCTGGTCACGCACCTGGGGAGGCGTTTCTGCCCTCTGGAGCCTGTTCTATACCAATGACATCAGCCAGTTCTCACCAGTGAAACGTGAGCATTCGACATTAATTAATCATTAATATGGCTAAAATATTTCAGGAATTCCCATGGGGAGCACTGTCCCTGTAGGAATGGTCCTCAGGCACCTCTGTGGGTCCAGGGGACATGAGGATCTTGTGAGCACTGCACAGCAACTGAACGCACTTCCTGGAGACCACTGCCTTTGCCTCCCAATGACATCATCACACAGGTGGGACTTGGTGTGGTTTTCAGAGCTAGGTTTTGTGGCTGCCTGGGTCTAAAGGGTAGTAAAACTAGTTTGGGAAGCACCCAGCCCTTACCAATCCCTGCTTGGCAGCGCTGGCATCTACAGAGAGAACCCAAGCCTTAGGTTATGCTCAAACTGGCTCAGGGAGATGCACAGTCTCCAGGGACCGTGGGAGCAGCATGAGCATTTGGTTTTGGGGGAGAAGTTTAAGGTGGATGTGGGCACAGTCACCAACATCTAGTGAGCTGTGGGGTCCACACTATAATCACAGCTATGCCCACTTCTCTAAGCTCAGCAATTCTTTGGGTCCCAGGGAGGGGTCCTCCTGCATTTTAAGCAAAAGCCTAAATATTCAGATAAGCAATTTGCTACCAGGACCATCCAGCACTGGTCTGATTAAGTAGTTGCCTCTGTATATATAATTTAAAGAGAATAGATCCTTTGACCTCCTATATGTGGGCATTGACTAAAAAAGGGGTGAGTGGACATCATACTGGGGAAATTAGGACCAGGATATTCCTCTGGGAACTACACAGCAGGGGTTTTATTAATAGATCTCATTTTATTAATGGGGGCTCATTCATATCATCCAAGCTGTCTCCCCTATAAAAGGGCTGAGAAGTTTATGCAGACACATAGCCAGCAAGGCCTCACATATTCACATCGGTCTTTCAGAGAAAGCATACCAACCCTGACTGATAGAGAGTCAAGGGCCAAGAGGGGGCTAGGGCCCGTCAACAGGAGACAGTTACAAATGCGAGCTGAACTGCAGGACGGACAATGAAGACAGGGGTCCTCATGTCTATTAACCAGGAGAGTGAGAGTAAAGACAATGTGTATTTATAAACATGTGTGCTGCAGACAATGCCCACTGAACTGAAATGGCATCAGTGACCACTGCAGCACAGAGSTCAGACTAATTTTCAGCAGTTCTGTGTATTTTCATCATTTCCATGACTAAAATTAACCAAAAAGGTGGTTTGATTTAAGAACTGCTATCAACGCCGTGTATCCTCKGAGCAGGAGGATGTGTTCCTTCTTGGGTACATGGGTTCCCTGACCTGTGACCTCGAGGAGGAACGTGAGGTGTCTAAGAAGCACAATTAATGGAACACCRGACAACCTGGCAAAAGGCTCCCAGGGTCTCACAGGACGAAAGCAAACTCTCCRGGCACAGGAGAGAGCACAGAGCCCCAGGGCTGCGGGGAAGGTGGCGGGCATGGAGCCTGCCCGCTCCCCTTCCTCTCATCTCTCCCTCCCCTAGAAGGGACTGGATTGGGTCTCTTCCACGAGGACCCAGCAARTGAGCTCCGGGCTAGGATGGCACGGCCTGTGAGAGGGCACTGAGCTGGCCCAGCCTCTGCACCGGAGCCTGCAACTTCTGACGGGAAATGCAAGGCATAAAAAAGAGCTAGACATCACGTGGCTGCTCCTTGCCCGACAGGCAACGAAGAAATGCTTCTCAGTAAATCCTCAAAAGCAGAACGGAGCAGTGAGGCAAGGAAATGCGGGGCCACCACTGACATTACCTACCTGGATTAGTCCTTCGCTTCCTTCCGCTATTAGTTTTCCTCCCCAAATTTTCAATCCTTTAGAGAAGAAACAAAAATAACTGTTTAATCCTCAACACTGAATTTCTGCTCAACATGTTTTCATAGAAAGCCAGTGTCAGATACAAAAAGGATATGATATTAAAAGTGAGYCAGGATCCCAATAGTCCGTTGCTAGCCTTTAACTTGAACAGACAGCTCTGTCGTAATGGAAACCTCCCCTACCTAATGGGCAGCAGTTCACTAAATTACACTAAACTGTAAAGTTGAATGAAAGCAGGAACATACATATGCCAGGTAGTGTCCTTATCCTTAAAATATACATGTACTAAGGGCAACACATATACTGTATTTAGAGTAAGCACTTTTCTTTTCCTTTTTTTTTTTTTTTTTGGTACTAGGGGATGAACCCAGGGACACTTAACCACAGAGCCATATTCCCAGCCCTTTCTATTTTTATTTTGAGACAGAGTCTTGCCAAGTTGCTGGAGCTGGTCTCAAACTTGCCATCATTGTGCTTCAGCCTCCTGAGTTGCTGGGATTATAGGTATGTGCCACCATGCCTGGTAGCGTAAGCATTTTTTGAGAGCATTTCTACATAACTCAGARTAAGTGCTTGTACCTACAAAGCAAGCCCATGCAAAGGGCCAACAATGAGTTCTGTCCTGCCACCTACCAACTTGGAGAACCTGGGCCATATACTCAAGGTCTCCCTAAACTTGCTGGGGGAAATTCAAATTAATAAGGAATGGTAGAAACTTGAGATAGTTGTTAATAACAGCAGCAAAAACTTACATAATGCTCACAATGCTTCAGGTTTATTCTAAATCCTTTTCAAGAATGCCATATTTACAATTCACAACTACCCACCCACACATAACTTGTACAGTTCTCCTGACATCTGTGGAACAGGGACTTACCACAGTCATCGTGCAGATAGATGTGGGCAAAGCAAAGTTCAAATACTAGTCCAGGCCACCTGCCCATGGAGCCAGAATGTGAACTCTGGGCAGCACTGATCCTGCACTCTTGACCACTAGGCCACAGGGCCTTTCCAGAGCAAAGTGATGCTTGCACACATGGGCTCAGAGTTATCAAGTTTCACACTTTGGTTAAGTGACACGGTACAAGTTACTTAACCTTTCTGTACTGTATCCACATTTAATTGTGATGATTCCAACAGTGGTGCCTACCTTGCAGGGTTGAGAATCAGTATGAGAGGCTTAGGAGAGCAGGGTATGGGGTAAGTGATCAATACACTACCCCCTGCTGTCTTCGTCACAATAGGTGCCAGAGTTAGTTTTACTCTCCCCTTTGTGGTGCTGCCTTAAGCTGGCAATTCACATTACCATGCATTTAAGAAAAGGCCATGCTACTAATTATCTTATGAGAAGCACCAAGACAGGGGCCCCGGGCCAGGAGCACGAGCCATGAGCTTGTAACACACAGATCTACTGAACTGGCACCCAGTACCTTGGCTGGTAGTGCCAGGAGCCTGTGCATTAGCCAGCTCTGCATCTACATGGTCAAGTGTGCCTGTTCCCAAGGTGTTGGGGTGCTTTATCCACTGTTCTCCCCAAACTGACACCCAAAGTTCTCACTGGCAAAATCAGTGGTACTTAAGATAGTACATTGTTCAAAACACTGCAGATGCTCCCTGTCCTTGCCATATGAAGACAGTGATGCCAACGAACAGACCCTTAGGTCATGTCCTGTCAGACCAGAAAGTAAAAGAAATTTGCTGCTGGAATATTTTAGTTTTTGCCTGGGTAAATTTTTCACTGGTTCAGCTAAAAAGGCAGAGAACGAGGATTTCTCTTGATTTAAGCAGCAGTTTTAAGAACCTTTTGTGCCTGTCTGTCTAGTGCTGGGCAGAATGTGATCTGAGATTTGCTTTCTTTAGTAGGTAAAAATGACTTGGTAATAAGGTCACATGGGAGCAACAGCCTCCATCTACTGCAGAAGCTCTCCAGTCACTTGTCAAAGAGAATMCACTTAAGGCATTTTACAACATCTGCATGTTCCAGCACAGTGGTCAGAACCTTGAGGAGGATGTGACTACTCAAGTTAAACACTGACAACAACAGTTAATGAGTGTCACTGGTGCCCAGCGGTGCTCCAAGAGTCTCATAAGGGTTCTGCATAACTGCTACCACATCCATGAAGGGTAGGTGACTGTCATTATCCTTCCTCTCTTACAGATGAAGAGCCTGAGTCACTGAATGGCTAAGCTGAAATGCCAACCCAGGAAGGCAGGGGCACAGGAGGAATCTTTGTGCCTTCAGGAATTCTGCTTAGTTAGATAAGCAATCCTGTTGGCAGTACACAACATACACGTTCAAAGGAACGAGTAATGTTCCGGGCCCAATGGTGAACSGGGTCACTTTCCTACGAGGGCGGGGACAGCATTTCAAATCGCAGTCTGCACCKTTCATTCATACACTCCACCGCAAACACTCAGGACGTTCCCTACCCTGGGGCGTCTGGTAGGTCAGCGTGGCCATCTGCACCAGTGGGTCGTCCTCGAAGGGCTGGTCATACTGCGGGGAGGAAGGGGCTTCGAGTCAGGTCCCCCGGCCGCACGGTCCGGACCCGGGAGAGGGGGTGCCAGCCCGCCCGCCCCCGCGCCCCTCCATCACCCAGCGGCGGGGACCACCTTCTCTATCAGCTCCCGCATGCGCCTCTGGAAGCGGCGGCGGCTGTCCCTGAGCTTCTGCAGCAGCGCGTCTTCCTCCAGGCCCCGGCCCTCCATGACGCACGCCGCTTGCCGCCACCAGCCGCGAGATGCCAGACCGCCCCGCGCGCCGCTCCCACCGGCCGCCGGGTCCCCGCCGCCTCTCGGGCTCCTATTGGCTGGGGCGGATGGACTGCGTTGATTGGTTCATTCGAAAGTGTTTGCACCACTTTCTCTCCGCCAATCCGCGTCCGAGCTTCAGGCCCCGCCCCGGGCGTTGYGTGGAGCGGAAAGAGAGAGGGTGGGGTGAGCTGCGGCCAGGCAGGGTAGTGGCGGCCTCAGGCCTTGGGTGCTGCTGTCGCCTGTGCGCTCCGAGGTAGCCCGACCTGCTCTGTTCCTTTCCCTCACTCCCTCGGGAGCGCGTCTGCAGGACACTCCTTTATAAGCTTCCTGTGCACTAACTCAGCTTGGTTGCGCCCTGGGGAACCCGACCTATCTCAAGTGGCCACCAAACCTGTATAATGTGCAGCTTTACCAGTTTCCTGGAGCGGATGAGGCACCTCCTCCTCCTTAGGGGATGCTCTTTGTCTCCACACATAAATTAGTTTTTAGACATCTRATGCCACACATTTAGAGACTGGAGGCCTTGGACAAGGTTTCCTTTATGTTTTGGAGAACTTTCTCTTCTGTGCCTGACTGGTGTGATAGTGCCACTTTTCAGAACTGGCCTTTCCCTAGGCTTGTTCCTCATCCCTGGGAAACCACCTTCAGACTCCAAGGCTTTTCTGACTGGTTTCACTGACAATCCAAGGATCTGCCTCTGTCCAGGGGATCCTGGGCAGCTTCAGGAGAAAGACTTCTCAAGTCTCAAGCTCAAGTCTAATTGAAGTTCTTGCCAGCCCTTCGTGAGCACCCAAAGCCCTTGTCCAATTCTGGCCTGCTAGTCTTTCCGGTCCCTCTGACTGGCTTTCCCCATCCCTTGAGTGGTGGTCCAGCAAAGGAAAGAGGAAACCTAGTGATGCTTCTCATTTGATRCCATCCCTACAACTCCCTACCCACGCTTGGCAGCCTAAACATGTGCCTTCAGAACCCAGGCCTGCTAAGCAAACTCCTTCCCCATCACCTCCCACTCCCACGTAGAGGGGAAGTATCACAAGTCAGCTTCTTCCCCAGGAGCAGGAGTTCCTGGGTGTGGCACTGTAGGGTCTCAGGGTTCCTATGGGCTGCCGAGTTCAGGGCAAGAGGGTGCGGCCCTGGCTTCAGGGTCTTTTCTGTCTGCACTTGCACCCTGCTATCTGCTAGCCAAACTAGGCTTTCCAAACCTCGAAAAGCCATTTRCAATAACTATGCCTAGAAAATCGTTCTCATTGGAGTTATTTTATGGCTGCTCTCATAAAACGTTCCTGAATTTTGCTTCAAATAAAATGGAAKGAGATTTATTCTGCATAGAGTTGCCACATAAATAATTTTATGTTGGTAAGGTGTAGAAATATCACCCCTTTGTCTKTTTTTGGGGAAAAGCACAGCTTTTGGCTGGTCCCAGGGTTGACACTGAAATTGCTATGTAACAGTGAGAACCGCAGCCTGAGATGAGTTATCAACCACAGAAACGAGGCCCCAGCTGATGCTAACAGAGACTGGGAAATAGCTGGTAACACTTGGATTGCCACAAGATGTCAGTCAAAGCTCACACAAATGTGTTTATTCTTTGATTTAATGAGTCTACTTTTTAAAATCTGTCAAAGTAGTTCATGATTTTGCAAGGATTTAGCCAGAGGACTGTTAGCAAAACAATTGGTAATGTCCAGTAGAAGATCACTTGAGTAAGTGATGGTGGGTAATATCTGCAGTCCACTCATGACAATGTGAAGTACTATAATTATTGACATCTAAAATGTATATGATATTTTTATAAAGAAGGTTATGAATATATGCTTTACATGCCTGGATTTTAGAAATATACATTATRTTTTAAATGTTTATATACATATGTATATATATATATATATGTATATATTTATACACATACCATACCCACGTGTATATATTTATACATGTGTACACATGTGCATACATATGTACATATGCTTGTGGTGTATATATAAATATATGCACATGTACATATGTGTATGCATGTGTATATTATACGTATGTGCACATATATGTATATATAGATGGATAGATGTGTATATGTATATTTATTTTAGAATTATCTCTAGATGATGTCTGATGGGTCATTTTTAATATTAGTTTTCATTAGTTGCATTTTCTAGAATAGGCATGTACTGTGCAAGTATAAGTGCATCACTCATATAATGAAACAATCAATTGTTTTAGTACATTTTGTGCTGCTGTAACATGACCAAGACTGAGTAATTTGCAGTGAACAGAGATTTATTTATAGCAGTTATGGAGACTGAGATGTCCAGGACCAAGGGTCTGGCACTGATAAGGGCCTTCTTGCTACATCATCCTATGTGGAGGACAGATGGGCAAGAGAGGACAAGAGAGAGCAAGGGGGCAGATCTGTCCTTTGAGAAGGAGCTCACTTGCTCGATAATGGCCTGGTCACCTCCCAGCTCTGTTTCATTGTGAAGTTTCTAAGACATTCTTCTGGGGGACACATTCAAACCATGGCACCAATCGTGTGCTTTTACCTTGTTGCTACAAATTCAGAAGCCACTTATCCAGGTGTGGCTCCAAACACTCTAGGTCAGCAGGGAGCAGCGCATTGCAGGTAGAGCCCCCTCCAGCTTTGCCTTTTGAGCCAGATAGTGAGAGGGCTTCTTCTAGGGCAACCCAGAGTGTCTGCAGAGGCTGTTGCCGAAGGTGTGCATCAATGGGGTACTTACTCTCTAACTTCCTCTCTGTGACCAGGTCATCATTTCAACAATGATCCAAGTTCTCTGAGCTCTCATTGGTGAATTCATTTTGTTACCTTATGATTTGTGACTGCAGAATGCCGCAGTCTGGCTGGGCACAATTCACCAGCCACTTGTCAAGCACAAACAAACTTTATTTTTAGAACACACACAAGGAACCACATGAGCTCTTCAGGAATTCCTTCAGAGCCCAATTGCCACCACCGGCTTTTGGCAAGCCTCTCAACACCCCCCCCCCCCCACTCCTCCTGCTCTTGAGGCCGATTGGCTGGGTCGTGTGGGCGGAGCCAAAAGAGTCCCCCAATGAGCAGCTCCGTGATCTGAAAGGGCGGGGAAACAGCCCAATGAGCATCACTGCAGAGGAGCCAATCAGCTGGCAGCTGGAAGTTTGCTGGGGCCACAGTGAGCCAATCAGCTGGAAGTTTGCTGGGGCCCCTTGGCTATGGCTCTCAACAGCAGAAGTCTTTGTTTAAAATAATTAGATCATTAGACCTTTTGGTTTGGAGATAAAACATTTGGAAAATACCTTTGTTTATTTGGCTGCATAAACAAAGTGCATGCTGGGGCTCAACTCTCTTCTTTGTGTGGATTTGTCTATGTGGAAATCTCAGATTCCTGCAAGAGAGTCTTCTTCCTATGGGAAGACTCACTGTGATCCCAAGTCTTGCACTTTTTTCTTGGATGCTCTAATTGGGAAGTTTTTGAAGTGCTAGGTTTTGAAGATATAGTACATTAAAATGAAGGTAAAGCATCTTATTAATAATTTTCAACATTGTTTATGTGAAATTGATCATATTTCAGATAAATTGGCTTGAATAGAATGTAATTCTAATATGTTTACATATTTCTTTTTACCTTTTGAAACCATCCCTGCATTCCACACTTCCTCAAAACTCTACATACAGTCAGAGGGTACCCTCCCTGGGCAGCCCTCTGACCAGCGCTGCTCTCTGTCACCACAGTCAATCAACTTCCAGCTCTGTCCTTTTATTCAATACTGAGCTGTGGCTCATCCTTGCACAGAGTGGATAGCTCCTCCTCCACACTGCCGAAGCCATAGCTGGCAGATGTGCCTCTTGGGACCTATTAGGAGAGCAGAACGTGTCTACATCCCTAACATGGCAATCTGTGGGCTACACCTGAGAGAGAGGCTCTGACCCCCTAATAAATTAATAATAGTAATAATAATAATAATAATAATAATAATAATAATATTTTATTTTATTACTTTTGGTACTAGGGATTAAACTCAGGGGCAAGGAACACYGAGCCACATCCCCAGCCCTTTTCATATTTAACTTTTGGACAGGATCTCACTAAGTTGCTTAGGGCTTCGCTAAATTGTTGAGGCTGGCTTTGAACTTGCAATCCTCCTGCCTCAGCCACCTAAACCACTGGGATTAGAGGCATGTGCCACCATGCCTGGCCTAAAATTTAATATATATCTGCCACAGGGTGCATAATCCCAGATACTCAGGAGGCTGAAGCAAGTGGATTGAAAGTTCAAACCTAGCCTGAGCAATTTATTCAAAAAATAAAAGGGTTGGGGATGTAGCTCAGTGCTAGAGCATTCCTGGGCTTAATCCCTAGTACTTAAAAAAAGGGGGGGCAGCATATGTGGGTTAGTTATAATTTCTGCTCTTGGCGCTGTCAGTTACCACAGCCAGGAATGAGGAGCCAGCTTATATATACATACATATATATTCTAAGTAATCATTCATTTTGTCAAGTTTTCAAATGTATTGGTTTAAATRAATGCACAGAATTCTCTAACGTTCCGATCTTCACTGTATGTGTGATGATGGCTCCCACTTACATTCTGACATTATTTACTTATACATTYTCTATCTCTCTTTTTTTCCCAATAAACATAATTTATTTTTAATGTTTTTCCAAATGTTTATTGGTACATTACAGTTGTACTTAATGGTTGTATTTGTTATTACATATTCATACACGCACACAATAGAACAATATAATTTGGCCAATATCATTCTCTAGTATTTCCCTTTTCTGGCCCCTCCTCCCACCCCCCAGTCCCTTTCCTCTAGAGATCTCCCTTCGATTTTCATGAAATTCCCTCCACCTTTCTTTTCCTCCAATAAAGATATTTTTTCTTGGGCTGGGGTTGTGGCTTAGTGGTAGAGTGCTTGCCTAGCACACGTGAGGCCCTGGGTTTGATCCTCAGCACCATAT